AATATACATAAAGAACCAAAAGTAACTGATACACATATTGGTCCATTTCAGAATAACGTATGTTTTGATTATAATTATTGATGCATTAAAGTGTTATCAAAGCTGGTTGATATATATCCAATTTTGCAAAGTTACTAAAGGTATTCAATTAATGTAGTGGAGTAAAATAACACCTTATACCTCTGAATTGTGTGGGGTAGAAGTGCAAAGTAAACATTGTACAAGTAAAGTACAAGTCCCTCAAAATGTTACTTAAGTACAGTAATTGAGTGAATGTACTTAGTTACTTTACACCACTGCTATGTTCAATATGCATGTATATTTAGCCTCTAAGCTGTATTCCACAGAAAGCAGTATGCTGTTGTTGTTAACTGACTCAAGCATGAGCATCTCTTATTTGTGTGTGTGTGTTTGTGTGTGTGTGTGTGTGTGTGTGTTGTGTGTGTGTGTGTGTGTGTGTGTGTGTGTGTGTGTGTGTGTGTGTGTGTGTGTGTGTGTGTGTGTGTGTGTGTGTGTGTGTGTGTGTGTGTGTGTGTGTGTGTGTGTGTGTGTGTGTGTGTGTGTGTGTCACAGGCTGGGTGTGATTGAGGAGGAGAGGGAGGAAGATGAGAGGAAGCTGAGTGTTGCCATGGCCGCAGCCGAGCGAGTCAATATACTGGTAAGCATTGTGAAAGAAAAAGTTTAAATAATAATGAACTTCATCTATTTAACCACATGTCAGTCCAACTGCACCAAACACTGCACCATCATTTAGTTTATTTCTATACTTTAATATGAGTAATTGTTTTGCAGCTTTAAGGGGAAGTGTTGTGTAGCTTGTTTTTTGCGTCAGATCTTCTTTTTTTTGGTACAACCTACTGACTTTTTGCAGATATAGAAAATACATGTGCAAGTAAGGTGCATTTAGGTCAAATCAAGCAAGACTATGTTCTGTTACATATACTGTAGTTACTGATTTAATCATCCAGTTTGTGTAGTTAGTTAGTTAGTACTGCTAAATAATTGAGGAGGATTTGAGGCAAAGCACCACCCAACCTACAACACCCAAACCTTCTGATTGTTAATGATATATATATATATATTAGTGTCAAAATAAATAAATGTTATTGTCAATCAGACATTAAATTATTATTATTTACATTTTGTTTTTGGACAGATTGTGTGATGAAATCCTTATTTGCAGTCCTAAAATTGAAATTAAAATTAATGTTATGTCATTACATTTTTGCCTTGAACTGTGATGGAATAGATAAAAAAGATAATCTTAATTTCGTTGCATCTTTTTTTCATGATACTAATGTGTTTATTACTATGAAGGTATTTTGGAGAAATCCTTTTATAGACAGTGTGCAGTGCTTGAAGTGATGTCTGTTTTGTACGTGCTCACAGGAGGAGCAGTTTGCAGACATGCTGAAGGACCTCCACCAGCTCAGCGAGGCCAATAACAGCAGCGGGCAAAACAAAATACAGCATCCTGAAAAGCCATACATCAACAGCAACTGAAAAGATTTAGAGCTGCAGTGTCACATTTTGTGAGAGTGGCTGTCTGATGTCACAGTTATGTTTTCTTGATGAGATGTAAATTGACTTCATGAACATATTTAGAATGACTGGGCAAACTCCGAATCAGGTGAAAATAAACCTGGTTCTTGGCTTTTACTGTATCCCACTTAAAGATGTTATGGACTTGTAAACCTTTCTGATAAATAAACGGATTCTCTCTGAACATACTGCAGTGTCAGTGCAACAGTGATGGAACACGACTAAGTGTATCTAAAATATTCTAAAATCCAGTGGCGAACCGTGTCTATCACAACTGGACCTTCTGTCGACACACACATGGGTAGCCGCACCTCCGCGGCATTATAATGTCCGTCTTTTCACTGAATTGTCGTCTTGAAAAGGGTACTCACAACAATTCCGCAACAACTTCATCTTCACCTGTTGCACTTGTCATATCAACGTTAAAAACAATAAAACTGCATGAATTGCTTCGTCGCATTCAACTAGACCCTCTGTCTCGAGCCAGTTAACGAGCGGGCCTTCTAGAATACCCTGGAACCGAGGGGAACTCTGAAAGAATACGCCCATTGGCTACAAATCAATATATGATTGGTTGATCAAACTGTCAGTCCAAACGTACGCTCTCATTCAGTGCAACGGCCAGGGCATTCGATCAAGGATGTAGAATACCTTGGTTGAAGGATATCCTACCCAGACACCCAGAACAAGATCTGATTGGTTGCTTTCTTTTCTAACACAAAACCACTGAAATGCGTAGTGCATGGTCCGAGAAGGACAAACAAATCAACGTAACACTGTAATATTACAGATCAACAACACAGATACCATTCTCATTTATTCATTTTATTTATATAATTAAATCGATTTTTTGTTTGTTTTATCTGAGTGTTCCAGGGTATTCTCTGAATACCTTGAAGGCCCTGACGGTTCGCCACGGCTAAAATCCAAGCTGCACAGTTTAGTTTGATGGCTTATGACCATCCATCTGTGTCTTGATAACAGGTTTTCAGTGTGATTTAGGTCATTCAAATGTCCCTTAGCAACAGTAAGATGACACGTGCACGATGAGGACGGTTGAATGCACAGGAAAAGCTGGAGTCATGCAAAGGTCTTTATCCACAACCAGGGTTAGGAGGGTTACTTAAAAACGTATTGTGTTACAATTACTAGTTACCTGATTAAAAATGTAATCAGTAACCTAATGTGAGTATCAAAATATAAAGGTAATGTAACCTGATTACTTTCCGTTAGTTTTGGATTACCTCAATATCAAATGCAATGCAAATAATCACAAGAGAAAATAAATATCAATATGGTGTTTTTTACCTGTTAAGCCCAGGGGCTTTTTTTTCACGACACTGTGTCTCAGGGCATCTTAATATTTAAGAACCTATTAATGTGTCATACCAGATTAACAGGAAGAATCTCAGCTAACTGACGATACAAACCATTTTTACCAAAACAAAACACAAGTCTCATAAGAAGCATCTAAATGACCCCTGAGCGAAAAATGCTAACGCACTTTGGCACAGAACTCAAGATAAAATATACCCTTATTACTTATCGTAGCTGCACATACAAGATATCCGATTAAAGCTGAGGTTCCACAGATTATTTAGGTATATATATCATCACTGATCTGAACTCGCGACAGCGGAAGCAAACACAGACATCACAACACGTACCTTTACGTAGCTTTTACGGGAGATCGTCTCACCGTAGCTGTCAATCTGATCAAAAGACTTGTTCAATGGCATTAAAACGAGAAAAAACGCGGCTGAATCGGTTAATCCATAGGTTGATAATGTTCCTGTGGAATATTTTTTTTAAATGTATAATCCATAATTCAATTTTTATGTAAAAATCGGAGAGTAAAAGTTGGCTGCTAATGGTAGCCACCAGAGTTATCGCAGCTACCGGTTGTGGCTATGCGTCAGTCTCACACACACACATTACCAAATAAGGAGTATGTGCGAGTTCCCCTCGATTCCATTGGCTCTGACAGTTGGAAAGAGATGTCAATCAGCAAAATCGAGCAAGGGGGGCCAGAGATATGTCAAATCCACCCAAATGACCCCAGAAGTGTTTTTCTTTTGCTAAATCTCTCTAAAAAGATCAAATTTCACTTGTTTTGCATCAATCTTGATACAGGGTACTTATTATATGTTGTAGTTTGGATTCATAAAGCTTTTAGTTTACCATCCCATCATTCAAGGGTGGTTTTCACTATAACTATTTTTTTTTGGACGGACACAATAATTTAAATTGTTTTACTGTGTTCAATCTGAATTTACTTTAAAAATAAAAACATCTATATTGATTCTGACACTTCTACATCCAACTCACAGGTGTAACCTTGCTTTGAGAAAAAAGATTATTAATTTAACCCTTTTAGAAGGGAAGATATGGTCATTTGTTCTGGGAATGTCATTTTCGAGCCTGAGACCTGAAAAACAGGCTCGGGGCTTAACAGGTTGAGTGTATTATGTAAGACAAGAGAACAATGTGACCTTAGAAAAGAAGAAAACAATATATTTAGTATCAGAAATGATTTTATTGATAGGAAAACCTGCCTTTCATAAAGCATGTGCGGGCAGTAGCCTATACACCATGCAATGAAACACATGAGCACATACTACAGCTTAAAAAAGCTGAAATAAAATCTGAACTGACAGAAAATGTTCCATTTAAGTTTAATTTACACACACACTATTTTATTCAAATAAAGGTTCACCTACTGAATCACGACGCCCCAGAATGAACCACGGTTCTCATTCAATATCACTATCTAGTAGCAGGTAGTAGATGAAGGTTTATACACCGACCATACAATTCACTCTTACTTAAATACTTTGACATTTGGGACTGTTTAAGCCTTCTTGTCAGGGTGCAGATAGATCAACATCTGCGGATAATGCTCTGGTCACCAAAACAATATTCACAAAGTAATTAAAGGTGCATGTTTCAAGGTAATTGTCTAGTTTGAAGTGAATTAAATTCTTACCGTACATAGTATTACCATCTACATAAAACTGAAGTACAAGAAGTGAAAGTACTCATTTCAGAATCAATTAGGCTATATAACTGGATTATAATTATTGATACAGTTGGTGAAGGTATAGCTCATTTGAACTACTTTCATATACTGTCGGATATTTTAATCCATAAATCTATTTCTAATGATTTGTTAATTTGTATTTTGTATTAATGTGTGTCTTCAAAGTATTAACTAATGTTGTTAAATAAATGTAGTGGAGTAATAAGTATAAAATACATAAATTGGAGATACTCGAGTTTAATATTTTTCTCTGTGGTGTGGAAAACAACAATACCTGTTCAATCAATACAAATGATTTCATTCGAAAATGTACAGCTGCTGTGAACGTTACTAGTTTTTAAATAAAGTTTTTTGGGAGGGAAAAAGAAAAGAGGCGGGACTTCTGGTTTATCGTCACTTCTGCAGAGTATTTACGTCACATCCGCTAGTTTTAACACCGCGCCACCGTAGAAAGCAAGCACATAAACAACAGCGTCTCGTCAACGAAAGTTCTTTGTTCATCTCCAGCTAGAACCTTAAGCACCACGATGTCCGACAAGATGAGTATGTCCCTGGACGACATTATCAAGTTAAATAAGAAAGGCGGCGGCAGAGGCGGTGGCGGCGGCGGCGCTGGAGGAAGATCATCCGAGCAGGGTGGAAGTTCTGGTCGGGCCGGTGGATCTTCAAGGCCGGCCAGGAGTCGACAGAATAACTTCAACCGTGATAGAAACAACAGAACAACACCATACACCAGGGTAAGAGAGAGAAACCATTCACATGTGGACCAACATTTTAAATGAAAGCAGCGTGGTGAGGCGTTTCAAAATGCGTACATCGTGGCTGCTTATCGGTCGTTGTTAGCATTACACTTAATGGACTTCCACCTTACTAGTGTGGCTAACTAGCTAACTTGGAAGTAGAAACTTAAATAACTGACCACGAATGACTTAAATTGTCTACATTAAATTATGTCAGGGTGTTGAATTACATTTTCAGAAATAATTACTATGAATTAGGGCAGCGCCATTTAACCGTGTCCCCGTGGATATTTGTCCAACATGGCTGCTTTGTTTCCGAAGCTGTTCTTCGAGGGGCTATAATCTGAAATCTCAGTGAGGAGGAACACTATTTCACTTCTCCCGCTAAAACGTTTTCCTCTACTAACTTGATGATTTTTGTTTTACCTAGAATTTAAAAGCTATTATATATTTTTTGGATAAACTATTTTGTGGATTAGTTGGATGAAACCCCTAGCCTGTCATTTAAAGGTATAGTGTTTAGGATTAATTTGAATCTATTAGCTGAACTGGTCAAATATAAAGGATTTCGTGTTTATTGCAATTAGCTGAAACAAATGAGAATGTGCACACATTTCCCCTGACAGTCATTTAAATGTATCCGTTTCAGACGTATCATTGCTTGTTCCCAGAACATTTGGATCCTAAACACACTCTTATGTTTCTCTCAACAGCCCAGAGAGTTGCCAGACAAATGGCAGCATGATATGTTTGAGGAGCATGCTGGTGGACGCAGAGGACAACAGAGCGCTGTGGCAGAAAGAAGTGTAGAATGTAACGGCAAGCTGCTGGTATCCAATCTGGACTTTGGTGTCTCTGACTCTGATGTCAAGGTAATTTACTGAATCTCATGAATCCACATTGTTAGCATCAAGGTGTTGAGAACAGGACTGATGTTTCTACTCTGCTCCACAGGAATTGTTTGCAGAGTTTGGAGACTTACTGAAGGCGTCTGTACACTACGACCGCTCTGGGCGCAGTAAAGGAACGGCCGATGTTCACTTTGAAACTAACGCAGCAGCACTCAAAGCCATGAAGCACTATAACGGTGTCCCACTTGACGGTGAGGATTCCATTCTCATGTTGAATTAAGTATTGTGATCGGTTATTCGGAATGAATTAATAATGAAATGTAATCCTTTTGATAGGCCGTCCCATGAAAATCCAGCAGCTGACCTCTGACGTTGACACGCAGAGTAGACCATCTCTACAAAGGTATGTCATATGGGAATGGCCCAGCAGTTTGAGACCAGTATTTGGGAGCACCAGAAAAGATTCACGATAACCCAACATGTGTCTAGCAGTGATTGGAGACTAATAAGATAAAGGGACCTTTACGATTGTATGGTTTGTGGGCTGTAGGAGGTTCTTATCCCTAATCGGCCAATTGTCACAGAATATGGTGTTGTGCATGTCCCTAGTTTGGAGATGCTGACGGGAGTACCAGCAGCTAAATAAATGTCTTAAACCCTAAAAAAAAGTTAAAATGTGTGCCACATTTATGATATTTTCGCTGTTTTACTTTCTGTCAGCCAGCCCTTTCTGACAGGAAACATCAGCTATTTCATTCATCTATTATCTTGCCAAAACAAACAGTCTCTCTTTTTTTTAATCAAAGAACATTAATATTTATCTGGCATGGATTGCTCTACCGTTACCTTGATAAGAAAATTAGTTTTAGCTGGGTACTTAAGGTCTGGTGGCTTTTTAAATTGAGCATACATAACTAGGGATGCTCCGATCGCCAATTTTGGGGCCGGAATCAGTATCGGCCGACCCGATCAAGTGGGCGGGGACTATGGGGATCTTCCATTTAAAGTGATGTTTAAAACTCAGTTAATGGGGCTCATTCTCTGGCGCTTCCACAAACAACAACCAACATAATTATTACATTCAAATGAAGTACATTATTCAAGTTTACATTAACTTTGGAGAATAACATGAGCGGAAGCGCTCTCTCTTCCTCTCTCCCCCCCTCTCTCTCTCCTGACAGCCAGTCAGTATCGTCTCATGCAGCTCACTGATCCAGTACTGAGTGACCCGACAGTGAAGAATAAATATATTTCTAACTAGTTTAGCTAGTTCCAGAGGTAGATAAAATAGCAAAGTGTGTTAGGTCTAACTCTAAGTGTTTTACTCCGCTCACCGGTCCGTCACAGCAGGTGGAGCTGCATGACACCTTAAAATACTGCCAGACCGGTGAAGCCATTTTGGCGAGCTTGTTTTGCCGCGCACAGAGAAAAGTCATGTATTTTTACGGGCATTTTTAGAGAGCACCGATTGATCGGTAGTTAGTATCGATCGGAGCATCCCTATACATAACTGTCCAAAAGGGTTGTCTAGTGATACAATACTCCCAATTAATACTTTTAATGGTAGCTAAAATATGTGTTCCTGCTTCATCATACTACCCTCAAAACTGGGCACCCTTTCAGAATGAAAAACCTGTATTTGTCCCACAGAGGGGGAAATGTACATTGTTAAAGTAAAGACAGCTTAGAAATTAAGAAGCATGCATCAAATATGTGGAAGCATACAGTTATTTACAGTAGGTGACAGCAGCCAGTAATGATAATAATTATGATCTCTTTGCAGTTCAAATGGAGGGTTTGACCGCAGCAGACTTGGCCAGCCCAAGTTTGAAAGGAGTGAGAAGAGTGATAGGGGTGATCGCGGTGAAAGGAGAGAAAGAAGGCAAGGTGGTGGTGGCGGCGGTGGAGGTTACAGAGGAAGAGGAGGGCGGGGAGGCGGAGGAGGAAGAGAAAAAAGACCTCAACTTTCTGCAGAGGAGCTTGACGCCCAGTTGGATGCATACAATGCCAAGGTGTGTACTCATGATGCATAAAATAACAGTTTTATATTTGTTCTCCCTGTACTGTAAAAATGTATGGATGATTTAATAATCACTTCTTTTTTTTGGTATGTTTCAGATGGACACCAGCTAAAGTTCGAAGCACTCGGAAAGGATGATGCTCCTGTGCCCCTTTTTTCTTTCTTTGTTAAATCTGGTTGATCAGATACGATGTATCGGACCTTATTACACTTTTCGTTGTGTTTTTAAGCCATTTTATTGTATGGACCATGATATTTTGGTGGTTTTTAATATTTTTCAGTATTTTTGTAGCCATGTTTTCTGGAGCAGTTTTATGTTTTGAATTTTTTTGTTTTGTTCTAGGCCACCAGCTCCCGTGCTCTTTTCCAAGTGTATGTTGACCTGACACACAATGGATTATTTTTCTTGACTCAACGAATCTTGAATTGGTGGTCCCCAAGTCTGTTTAATGTTATGTGAAAAAGCTTCTGTGCTGAAGTTCTGTCATTTGGTACTGTATACTGGACACATGGACATATTTCATAGGGTTTTGTACATAAATAATTATATTGAATCATGTTTCTGGTGTTCATTTAGAAATGTCTCTTCCTGTGACAAATGCAGTTCCAACTTTTTTTAAAATTAAACACAAAAAGAATGAACTCAATATTGTCATATTTGAACTATTCTCATATTTCTTAAGGTTAGCTAAAACCCCGTTTACATGGAGACGGTTCGTGTTGTATCTGCTACTTTTCTATTTCGTATAGCCCGTTCGTTCACACGAGGCCGAAACGGACCCCTCAAATGATAACTGGTCCTACGGTGTGTAGATCTGCGGACGGAACGCTCTGGGGGGGGCAAACGGCTCCGTGTGTACGCCCTATACGATCATTTCCTGATAACGATGAAGCCATAGCCCCGCCTCTGCTGCTCACTGCTGTAGGTATGGTGGCAGTAGCTACTGACCATGCCTTAGATGTTAGTGCAAAATCTACAGCTCCTCTACCACAACCCTCAGCACCAAGTGGACATGGAGAACTATATGAACTGCATGTTGCTAAATCCACCGCGGAGCATAAACAGAAGGCATGTACTACAGCGGGTCGAGCGGTCTCGTGTGAACGCACAAGTTTCTTGAGCCGATACTGTGTGAACGGAAGACTTTTTTTATATCAAATTCGTTTAGTTTCCGTGTAAACGGGGTCTAAGACTTCGCGTTTCAAACTGTTACACCATATTCTAAGTGCCATTGAAATATACTTTTTTTTCTATACTTTTTGCTGAACATTTATGGGATGCTTTCATTGTTAAACAAAAGAGCTGTACATATATTAATCTTTCTAAAATATTATATTTCCTACCATAAACTATTGGTCAGTTTACCAGACCAAGGGACTGTAGCATAACGGTTAATCATTTTTGTTACTACTTTTAGAAGTCTCAGTCCCACTTTGATTAATGAATACCTTGTTCAATTTTAGGAATCTTTTTATCATAGATATTAATTGGAAATAGCCTAATAAGTTTATGATTGCAGTTAAATTGTTTAGATCAAGACACCAGGAATTAAAAAGAAACTAATACTAAAGTTTACACTATAAAATAAAATGTTTGTAAGCTACACCTTCATTTAATTCCATTAAAACATGCTTTTAAAATTAAAAACTACAATAGCGTATTATTTTGGTGTGAATGGTACCTTCACAGAAAGCAATTCTGAGTATGACAGCACTACACCATTTTTGTTTATCAATTGGCAAGATCCATTGTCAATCCATGAGTTTCAGAGAAAGTATCTTTTAAGGATTGTAATTGTGATATATACTAATACCCAATCTTAAAATAGTGTGGAAGTTGGCCACATTGATAGGATTTTGTCAACTGGACTAAAACATATAGATAAAGCATTCCATATACTGTGGTGACTCAGACTCTTGAAATAAAAACATCCATTACATCTTAACAGTATTATTCAAAATATAAAAAATTACATTGATAAGATAATTTGATTGTTTTCTCTGTGGGACGAATAAAGGTTTTCTGATTTATTCTGAAATATAACGTTTTTTGGAGCGCGCCCTCGCACCTTACGTCATCTGCATGCGTGCGCGGACCTGTTCCCGGAAGCGTGCTGCGGGTGCCCGAAACTCGGGGCGGCGCCGTTCCCTTGTTCGCCATACTTGCACAGGAGCGCAGAACAACGAAGGCACTTACTGCAAAGACACCTGAAATCGCCACTTAAATATTAAGGTAAGTGTCCTCGGTTTCAAAGGCAGCCTTTGACACATGTTCTAGAAGACTCATAAACGGCGCACGCTACTTAGGTCGTTTTGATGTCCCTCCTGCTCCCCGTCACTTGATGATAACTTGTCAGGCTAACCGTAGCCGCAGGATCCCGTGAGATTGGCTGAAAATGAACTGAAACAGTTAGCATCTGGTCTGCCTCTCCTGTCCCCACCCTGTGTGACAGGGCAGGCGCCATGAAAAGTTGAGCCCCATGGTTGAGTTGAAATCCATTTCATTTTTCTCGCTGGATAACTTTATTGCAGCTGCCCTGGCAAGCTGTCAAAGCCGGCATGTTAACCGGTTCATTGGAAACATGCCAGTCTCCAGCAGTGGTAGCATTAGCTAGCTAGCATAGCCACAGTCTGTCATGTAAGGTGCAGTTTCCTCGTTACGGTAGCTGCGGTTAGCATCTGTACTTGCTTAACTGTTAACGTTACCTATTTGTTGTGGGTATTTAAATACAGTAGCTTAGGAAAACAGAACATACTGGAGTTATCATGGTTAATGTTTTTACGGGTTTTATTCAGTCACATTTGTAGAAGGTGTGATACGTGACATAGAACACAATAGAGCAAGAGCATATTTCATTTGTTTAAAATTATGTTTTACATGACAGCCAGGCATCCTTCTCACCAGGCCAGCAGGGGCAGAGAGAGACTGGATGTTTGTGCTGTTGCCCTGCAGTTTGTTTAATACTCAAATAGATGTTCTTGGTAGAAGCCCAGGCCAGACAGAAGAGGTAAACTTCCTAGAGTCGATCAGACTGCAGCCTGCTGTGCATTTCCTCTGTATGTAATGTGAAGTTACTGGTATTGTGACTGCAGCAAACTGTTTCTGTTCCCCTGGGTGGGTGGGGTGGGCTTGTCACATTTGGATGTAAGTACAAATCTTGAAACTGCACATTGTAGTTGTTTTACATCACGTTTGATATATATTCATAATTATTGTTTTTTCGAATGATGGAAACAAAGCACACATGTTCAAGTTGAATAGGCCAACTAGGGACACTCTTCCTTCTCAATGGTCAAAAATACAAAAATGTATCAATCCTTTTTCATCAATGCAGCCATGTAGACCAGTGGTTCCCAAACTTGTTGTGCCCAAGGCACACCAAAGGACAAGTAAAAATCTCAAGGCACACCTATTGTGCAAAATAGCCCTTATAACACGTGTTATCACTCATATCATGTAACATATCTGTAAATGTGCATAATTATTTACTAATGCCAAATAAAATGTGACAAAGACAACTATATTACTCATTAAATATTTATTAACGAAATATTTCAGAAATTAATTTGAAACGTTATCAAATTAGGCTTCATCAAAGCAGCAACACACTCATTTAAACCAGACAGGTTTCAGCATTGAAACATGTGCTATTGTAAATATTTTTGCCGACTTACAAATTAGTGAGATACATGTGAACGTACGAACTGCGCATGCGTGAGTGGCAATAACTTTCCTTACCAGCAGGCGGCGGTAGTGTGTATTTGTCATTCAAAACAGGCAACAACCGGAAGGCAGAGAAGAAGAACAGACTACGTGATATAAACAAACAAGAAATAGCGTGTGCGGTAGCTTCACCTTAGCATGTGTTCTTTGCAGGTGTGTGTTGAGGTTTGACATGGTGTTTACAGCAGTGGATAACAGCTTCTGGCCTGGACACAGTTTGCACCTCACCGTCACATTCCTGTCTATTCTCCGGATGAACTCAAAGTAATGGACATACCTCCTCCACCCCTCGAAAGTTATCGCTGACTCAGCCATGTTTATGCAGCACTGCACGAGGAGATGTGGATTACGTACATATAAACCTACAAAGTACTGATATAGTAAATTAAAAAATAATTATTTTTGTATAGTTGTATATTGCAATAATAATAACGTATGGTTGTCACAAAATCCCACGGCACACCCGGACTTGCCTCACGGCACACCAGTGTGCCGCGGCACACCGTTTGGGAACCACTGATGTAGACCACGCCTTTTAGAAAAAAAGAGTCCCCCGATAGATAGAGAAGGGAGAGGATCTTTTTGATTTCTCACCTGTGTGAAACAGAGTCGAATGCCCGAACTTACATAATGCCTTCACTGTGAAGCCCCCCCCCCCCCCCAGCACCTGTCCTGTCATTACAAACAGCCTCGATCCAAATGTCTGCCTCCTTCTGATATCACATTTTGTTGTGCAAAACAGTGGAGTGCATTGTGTGATCACAAGAATATGTAATAAAAAAAGAGTCCGGCCTCCTTCTCTGCTGCAGTGTTCTGTTTTATGACCCTTCCTCTACACGGTTATTTCCATTAAAAAAAAAAAAGTCACATTCCAATGATCCAGAGGTACCAGTGCTGGAGGAAATATATGAAACCAGTTATGGCTAATGTTGAGCTCTTCAAGTTGTTATTGGTTCATTTATGTTCAACTATTTGAATGTGTAGTGTTGGAATAGCAAGGAAGCCCTAAGGGCATTTTGAGCAGTTCTGGGCCCTGCTCAGGCACGTTCTGTGACAGCAGACTGAAGATCCTCAGTTTGTTCCTGAACTGCACGCAGACATTCCTCTGACTGCTGCTAACTCGGGCTGGTCAGAGAAGATGTATGTTGCAGAAGGAGGAGTCTGAATAGTCATTATATTCTCTTACACATGTTGATAGGATTGTTGTTTTATACTTCACAGCTGTTTTGGCTTTATTATTTCAATAATGCACATTTGATTTGCACTGTACAATTGGTTGTTTAGGCCTACTGTCTTGACCCTAAACTTTCTCAGTCCCTTCCATTAAGGCTGCACAATTAATCAAATGTATCCACAGCGCAATATGGACTAGTGCAATATTCAAATCACAGGAGGACCAATATTTCTTAAAGGTCCCATGTCATGCTTTTCCGGTTATTACCCGTCCCCTTGTGTGTTATGAATGTTTTTATGCATGTAAATGGTGTGCAGAGTCAAACCCCTCAAAGTACACCCTGTAGGGAGTAAAACTCTAACACAGAAAATACCTCCCCAAAACGCCTCGTTGGAGATACGTCACTGTCCATTTGATTCTTCCGGGGACATCATGATGTCATGTCGTCCCCGGAACGAAATGGACCAATCCGTGGAGCCGTTACGTTACGTCCGCGGAGCCGTTACGTTAAGCCCCCGCTGATTGGTCCAAATTGACCAATCCACGGACTTCCTCACACACTCAGTGCAGGCAGCTCTGCTGATCTCTCCTCCCTGGCTGCAGGCTGATAACAGACAGTTGGGATCGCGGCAAAATTCTCTCTGCAGACCCATTCTCTCTGCAGACCCATTCTCTCTGCAGACCCGTTCTCTCTGCAGACCCATTCTCTCTGCAGACCCATTCTCACAGCGTTTATCAACCTTTTTCTTACTCAATATCAAGCCACACTTATTGTTTTTACTTCGGCTGTGACTTTGTGTGTGCTCAGGATGAGTTTCGCTGTGTATCGCTAAACAAGGAAACCACACCTCCACGGAGCTCAGCGCGATTCACAACGTCCCGACTGGTCCCGACCAATCGGAGCACACTGGGCTCACAGGGAGGGGGGGGGCAAGAGCTGCAACGAGCCGTTTAGTGGAGAGAGTGAATACACATACTATACAGAGATGCTGTATGCGAAACCAATGTGAGTTTGGAAAATTGTACAGTATAAATATATTCTAGTAGACCTCAACAATGGAATTATGATCAGTGGAAATGGCCATGACATGGGACCTTTAAGACTAAATATGTGTTAAAATACAATTTTGAATTTAAATAAGTCCACCTACTTAAAGAGTTTTCCCTTTCCTGTAGTGCCATAAATACGTTTTTTTGATCATGGTGACATCACTAAATAACACTCAGGCTTCTATTGGATAGCGCTTCCTTCAACACATTATATGTGATATGCTAAGGGTCGGGACATCTCTAATACCTCATTCACACCAACGGTGTTTCAGGGCCGGTTCGGAGCTGGAGCTTGAAAAGCACCGGGTTTTCCTGTTCACACTGCAGCGGAGCAGCCTCTTAGCTCCGGAATCCGGTTCGTTTCAAGCACCAAAAAATTGTCCGGCCAGAGCAAAAGCACCACATACATCACGCTTACGTCGAGGCGGGGGCAGGGGCGGGATCAACTCCTGAACAACAACAAAAAGCTGGCGTTTTATCCAGTTTGTACACAACAATGGAGAAACTTAACAAGCAGCAGTGGTCCACTGAAGAGACCAGCTACCTACTGGGAATCTGGTCTTCCGAAGAGGTACAGAGGAAGCTGGAGCACAATCGGCCATTGTTGTTGTTGTCGGTGTCAGCTGTGAGGGGTTTCCGCGCGGTTTGGCTTTATGAAGCAGGCACGCAAACGGTTACGTCATGACGCAAACGATGACGCAGCACCAGTCGGACTCTGGGCAGTGTGAAAAGAGCCGGAGCTAAACCGAAGAACCGGTTCTGAACCTGAAAAGCTCTAGCATGGAGCTTGAACCGTGAGGTTGACCAATCACAACAGAGCCTTTCAGCTAACCAATCAGAGCAGACTGCACTCTGGTTTCAGACAGAGGGTGAAAAGAGGTGCTGCATATGTGTTTCTCCCCAAGCTTGACCATTTATTATATTTTCTAATAATAATGATAATAAGGCTTCAATAACATTTAATACCAGCATTATTGTGAATCATATGGCAATTGCATATCAGCCAAAATATTAGCAACCATTATTTATTTTCAAATCGCGCGGCCCTAGCTTCCACAGCTTGGATGAGTTTGGCTGCTGAGAGCTTTTAAATCCCTTAGTGGTGGCTGTAGTTGTGTAATGTAGTTCCCTACCTGTGTTTTAATTCATGTTTTATTTGTATGTACGGCGTACGCACCATGACGTCAAGTGAAATTCCTCGTATGTGTTATAAACCTGATTCTGATGTAAACTGATATTCACAAATAGTCATTAAAGCATTATAATTGGCTCTTTGGAAGCGATAAAGATACAATTAGCTTTTAGTAAGTTTCAATTATGGTTTGATCAAGGTAAGCCCATCATGTTATGTTTTTGATCAAATGGTCCAATCATCAGTATAACACTAAGAAAACTAAGGTAGTGCATATAATCCCCTCTGTCAAAAAAAAAAACCGTAGAACAAATCTTACTGTTGGGATTGACTGCATTGTGTTGCATATCAAAAGATGCAGTGGTGTTATGTCAAGTGTTTTGGCACAAAACAAAGCCCTTCCTGCTTTTGTTAATCAATATATTTCAGCAGAGGGATTTTTCCAGCATTACCCTCCTTAAAGGGGAGGGCCAAATACAACATGAACAAGATTTTTATTAGGGATGCACCGAATATTCGGCCACCGAAAATTATCGGCCGAAAATGGTTAAAAAGGCCCTTTCGGCTTTCGGCCGAAAAATATCACCGAATGTCAGAACAGGCTTACGTTGGTAACCTAACGTGTTGTTGTGATGACGTAATAAAGACGCGGCGACCATGCTCGCGGCTGGCTCACAGGGGGGGGACATTGACCTTTGTCATCGAGATTGCCCTGAGCCTTTAACAAATCGTATTAAATAATCTGATGACAGACTGTAAACAGAATAGCTGAAATTTTAACAAACTAAATACCTCAGTTTCCTCTAATCATTAACCCATGTTTGTATCATGTAGTTAACTCCGTGTGTTGCTGCTAGCATACATAACACCTGACGTGGAAACGTTACTCGTGGATGGGGCTACAGAGCTGCTAGAAAGACGGTCGAACCCGGTACATTCCTCCGTCTGCATGCGGTGCACTTTTGCTAAATGTTTAGACAAATTGCTCGTGCTTACATGCTAAACTCTTATTGCACTTATGGTAACAAGTATTCTCCACATCGAGACGGGTAAAGTTTAACCACACCTCGGAGCGCGTTCTCTCCGCCATCTCCGCAGTGTGCTCCGCTGCATGTAGCAGCTGCGTGTGTAAACTGCCCCGCCCCCTCGCACACAGACGGGGAGAGAGATCTCGTCTGATCGAAAATACATCATAGACGCATTTGTTGTCTTTGCATATTAGAAACGAGTTGGCGACACTAAGACTGCGATATAATGTTTTTTAGCAATAATACATGACATATATAAATGTACTGTATGCATTCAAAAGTGCTGAATAAATGTTTTATGGACCCATAATAGTGATTATTATTTAAGTTAAGTTTTGCCATAATCATGTCTATTTCCATAATCAGGTAGCTGAACAACATTGGTAAAAAATGTATACATTATATATATATATTTCTATTCATCATTTTCGGCCTTTCGGCATTCGGTTTTCGGCCAACTGTTTCCTATTTTCGGTATCGGTTTCGGCCAAGAATTTCCCATTCGGTGCACCCCTAATTTTTATTGTTACATTTAACTTCAATTCATTAGCTTAGCATTAACTTAACTCACCAATTTCAATTGTATAGCCTAGATCAGGGGTGGCCAACCAGTCAGAGGTTAAGAGCCACATTTTTTCTATGTTACTGCAAAGAGCCACATCAAACACACAGTCACTGATACCGCTTGTTTCAGTTTTTTGTTTTCTGGAGACAAGATTTCAACCACGTCACTGATGCATCTTTGTGGCATTGGGATATATATTTTTTAAATCCTCTGGAGCAGAGAGGAGCTGTGGATTATTGTTATTGATTAATGCATCAGTGTTTCTTAGGGTCAAAAACACTAAACTCACAACTTAAAATGAAAGCGTTTAGTTTATTTAATAAAAGAGCACATGTTCAATGTGAAAAGTGACAGTAGTTATAGATTATTTGCAATTTGGTGCTATATATATATTTAAAAAATATATATTATATATATTTTTGAAACACCTTGAATTCCAGGGGGGGGGCGCGGGGCTCCGTTGGCGGGGCGCAGCGCCCCTCCAACACAATGGTAGGGGAAACACTGGATAGTGTTTAATCAACGATAGGTTTTCCCCCCCTCAAAGGTGATTGGTTCACTGCATCGCAGGTATTATTGTGATTGGCTCTTGGGTCACATCAAAATTAGACGCGCTGTCATCCTCTCATGACACCTGACACCACACATACACACGTAGGGAGAGCCGGGACGAAAGTAACACGGGACCAAAGTAACGGAGCGATTTTATCCGAGCCCAAACAACTTTGACCGGCCAAATTACGTCAGAATTATCAGCATTCAATACTTAACAGACCTACTAAATATCAGGTTTAACTGTCAGGAGTAGCTAGTGTTGTCACGGTACCAACATTTTGGTTTCGATACCAAGTCAAGAATTGTGATTCCGATTCTTTTTTGATACTTTTCTTAAAAAAAGGGAAACAGTCTTAAATGTAATTATTGTGCTTTATTTCACACCAGAACCATAACCATAACACACACTTTTAAACAATGAGAACAATAAATAAAATAAATGACAAGAATTCGTATTAAATAAAATTAATAAATGTCTTACAGACAGGCCTCGTGGTGTCCGTAGGCTTGCCCTCACTGTCAGAGATATAGCTCAAATACTTCCAAATTTCGCTTCTGGCGTCTTTTTTGTCAACAAGCCGAGGCGCAGCGGCAGTTGCACTCCCACTTGCAGCCATGCTTCTCGTTTTCTCACATGCTCTGGCAGCTAGCGCGTGCACGAGAGAGGGGAGGGACTTAGAGCGTGCTTGAGAGGGAGGGACTGCAGGCAAGGCTGCAGGGAGTGGAAGCAGAGCGCTGAACACACACGGCTCTTATTAAAACGGCGCTTTCTCACCGGAGTACTTTTCCCCGTCATTCTTAAAGTACCGATACTAATGAAACGGCGGAATCGTAACGTTTTTAACGGCAGGGTATCGCGGTACCTTTCAAGTATCGGTACACCGTGCAACACTAGTCAGGAGTCAATGTCTCTCCCCCAAACTCACACATACAATTCGATATGAACTGAAGAGCCGCATGAAACTAGGCAAAGAGCCGCATGCGGCTCGAGAGCCGCGGGTTGGCCACCCCTGGCCTAGATGATGTGCCCTAATGTGACCTCTTGTTTGTACTTTGGATTGTTTAATTATAATAATAATATGTTGGCATTCAACGGAAAATTAATATAATATATAAATATACGTTTTTATACAATGAACTGGGATCTTGTTGCATATAAATAGCATAACAGCTAAAGGTTTGATTGGTCCATCTTTTCTGAAACATCCCTGCAGGCAGATTTTTTTCTTAACATACCTCCCAACACATAAACAAATACCTTGTGCTGCCTATGCTACCTAAATGAGGGGCCATACCTCCCCAGGCAGAGGCTTTGTACCATGTGACCAGTGACGGTCTCATTCATGACTCTCCTGGTGGTGATGATGTTGTTTCAGAGAAATTGATACTCGATCTGTCAGTATTATCGTATTGTAAATGTCTTTCGATATAATTGCAGCGTGAGGTCATCTTGAACCCACTCTGTCTCCAGACATGGCCGAGGATGACGTGACTCCAGAGCAGCTAGCAGCCATTGCAGCTGAAAACGAAGAGCCAGACTCGGTGAACTACAAGCCCCCGGCCCAGAAGTCGTTGAAAGAGATCCAGGAGCTGGATAAGGATGATGAGAGCCTACGCAAATATAAGGAAACTCTGCTTGGCTCTGGGCCCTCTGGCGCTGGTAAGAGTGTGTGTGTGTGTGTGTGTGTGTGTGTGTGTGTGTGTGTGTGTGTGTGTGTGTGTGTGTGTGTGTGTGTGTGTGTGTGTGTGTGTGTGTGTGTGTGTGTGTGTGTGTGTGTGTGTGTGTGTGTGTGTGTGTGTGTGTGTGTGTGTGTGTGTGTGTGTGTGTGTGTGTGTGTGTGTGTGTGTGTGTGTGTGTGTGTGTGTGTGTGTGTGTGTGTGTGTGTGTGTGTGTGTGTGTGTGTGTGTGTGTGTGTGTGTGTGTGTGTGTGTGTGTGTGTGTGTGTGTGTGTGTGTGTGTGTGTGTGTGTGTGTGTGTGTGTGTGTGTGTGTGTGTGTGTGTGTGTGTGTGTGTGTGTCAATCCTAGATCCATCTTTCTGCAGAACATCATCTCTGCTATGCTAGTTAGCATGGATGCTACCTGTTTATAACAAGATTAGATGCATTTAATCAAAATCAATTGCAGGAAAATATATAATTGCTTCTCTTTTTGGTAAGTATCATAAATGTGTGTGCAATATTTCAAAATAGAAAAATCTGTTGAATTCCGTCGAGGGAGCCCTTGCAATGCTAACTTCCGGCTTAGCCCACAAAAAGACATCATCACTTCACCACTCTATTGAGAAAGTGGTTACATACTACTCAATGTAAAAAGAAAAAATGAAACATGACATTTCGATGTTAGATTATTATCACTAAGTTGATAAGTATGTTGATATTTAGTATGTTATTTTAGTTGTAATACATAGTAGTGGTTCTTCTTCAACTATACCTTCCTATACACTGGTATGATGAGAGCACATTAACCCTACAGCCAAGCTCTTCTTGAATCTAACAGAATTAACATTGATTAGCTACAGCTGAGTCAATCTGCTATTGTCAAAATCAATAGGCACCATCCTAAACCTTTCCCTATCCTATACAGTTAACATACTGTGTGTGTTTCTTCAGAGCTCTTTAAAAACTGAGTACTAATTTGTAGGGCTGTACCCGAATATTCGGGCGTTGGCCTACTATTCGGTTTTCAATTTTGTTATTCGGATATTCGTTAAAAAAAAAAGTTATAGACTTAGGTCGCATTCACTCCAGCCTTGTATAGTCCAGTTGAATCGAACCCTGGTGCGTTTACCCGCTTGGTGCGGTTTGTTTGGGTCGGTGTGAACAAAGTCAAAGGTCTCTGAAGTGAACTAAACAACCGGACTCTGGTCCGCTTAAAAGAGGTGGTCTCGGACCGCTTGCTAGTGAACTCTGGAGCGGATCATCGCTGGTGTGAATGCAGTCCGCGCCAAAACATAGGAAGCGTAGTATTTACGAGTCCGTCTTCAAAATCTTTAGCGAAAGAGTGAAGCAGAATGAAGTGTTGAACAGTGTCTTGTAAATAAAAAATGCTCCGTCAAATATACATAAAAGTCAGAGCCACCTGTCGTCGGTAAAACGCCCCTCCTTACTGCAGAACGTCTCATATGGGTTATGTTTTTTATCGCACGTTGTCTGATTGTATAATCATATACGCCGTTGTTAAAGTCTGTTGATATGATCTCCAGATTAACAGCAGCATGAAAAATAACCTGCCGATGCTCCATGGCGGAGGCTACGGTAGAAATTGCCAGGATTTGCCTTTTTATCCCCCTTAATGTCTGACCAATTGTTGAACAGCATTTCCGTGCACATGACTTGTGTTTAAAGTGTATAGTCCGTTTGAATTTTGCCTTTGTGAACGCAAACCGAACCTTCTGAAAAATGAAGGTTCCCCCCCCCGCGCGAATATCCGAATATTCGCTGCTGATTACTACGGAATATCCGAAGCCCGAAAAATAGTATTCGGGACAGCCCTACTACTTTGATATAAAATGATCAATGGTTTGGCCCTAAATGAGTGAATAGAAGGGACTGAGAATAAACTAAAGTGTATTTAATGCAGAGGCTGTTCCAACTACAGCACAGCTGTCCTGATTTCTCTTCCCCTGAGCCCGCTGCACTCACCACGTGACCTTCGGCTAAGTTTTGTAAAGAAAAGAGTTTAAATAAAAATATCTGTCATTAAAGGTCGGGGTCCCGATCGCCCTGAAGGGGTTATTTTTGCTATAATGACTGGCTCGCTGCTTATTTTTGTGCTCATTACACAGCTACTCACCAAATGAATCAATACATGTACACAACATATTGCTTTAAACATGATTTTATTATTTCAAAAATTATCATATTGCTTCCTCTAAAATGAACCGCAAAGGAGATTAAAATGAAGGCAGCACTGGTCGAGGTTTTCTGTAACTGTTCAAGTCTGTTTACATTTTCTCTGTTAATTCCCTACACAGTCAAAGGTGTTTGAATCCAAGCTGCAACTGTGTACGTTGTCTAAAATGTCCCATCTGGAACCATTAACCTGTTTTTTTAATTCAATTTCAGATCCCACTACTCCCAATGTCCAAGTGACCCAGATGTCTCTGGTGTGTGAAACCGCCCCGGACCCGCTGATCCTGGACCTGCAGGGTGAGTCCCTCTCCAGGCTGCTTTAGTTTATTCGTATTTAATGGGAAAAATATATCAATTACCTGTTGAATTAAATGCTTGGATAGGTAAGATCTTGTAGTGGTAGGCTAAGGTTGGGGACATCTCTAAGCGGTTGACCGCTACAGAGCCGGTCAGCTAACCAATCAGAGCAGTCTGGGCTCTGGTTTCAGACAGAGGGTGAAAAGAGGTGCTGCAGCACAGACAGTATGAGACAAATAAAGAGCTTTTTGAACATTAAAGGATGGAAACATGTCAAAGTAGAGACACTAAATACTAATATGAAAATGAGCATAAACTCTCCTTTGAAGGCTTAGTTTGGATTCACCACTCAATAATAAAAGGTCTGTTTTGGTCAATGGAGTCTGGTGGCTTTGAAGAGAGCATATGGCGCATTCACACTGCGGTACTTTTCCCACAAAGGTTCATGTGAACTCTTTTATCGCGTTCACACCAAAAAGAGCCGGTACTAAAATTAGTTCATGTGAACCTTTTTACCCCCACGAAAGTCCCTGCTAGAGAGCAGGGACTTTCGTGCGGCTCTCTTGTGAGAAAAGAGCTATATTTCTGATTGGCTGGGCGGATTGCAAACCACGCCCCGTAAAACTCCCAAAAAGTTTTGTGAAGCCGCCATTTTATTATCCTCGCATTAGCATTATTAGCATTAGCCCAGCGCAGAAATGCAGAGAGACTAATTTATGGCAACACAAAATAAAACATGGGAGCGGTGGAGATGAGGAGGTGTCGACGTTCTGGCGATTTACTCGGAAGGCTTCAGTAGAAGCTGCTGGGACTCCCAGCAGCTTCTACTGAAGCCAGTCCCCAACTCCGGGGACTTCCGGCCGGGGACTTTGGGCGGCAGTATACGCCGTGAAGTGGTTTGCGGCCTGCCAGTAAGCCCAAAGCAGAAGAAGAACAAGTGACGTCAGCGGCTTCATTTGCCTAATCCACCCCCAGGGACTTTTTCCAGTGTGAACGCGATCTGTACTTAGTTCATGAGAACTAGAGAGTTTGCATGAACTAAGTTCACATGAACCTTTGTGGGAAAAGTACCGCAGTGTGAATGCGCCTATAGACAGTGGCTTCAGTTCCCTGTCGAAAAGGGTCGACATGTTGAAACAGTGAATATATTACTAATACAATTATTTATTTTTAACATTGCCTCCATCCATATTAGTGGTTAGCAGAACTCCTTTCAGTTTCTCCAATATGCCATTACTGTACGTAATACACTGACTGTGGACATCATACAACCTCAACTCTAAAAATCTACAGGAGTGAACTTATTAAACACATGGGTCAGATCATTACGGTGGCCCTGAAGTGCAAGTCAAAACGACATTTCAAAAAACACTACAGCATTTCACAAAACACTTCAACATTTCACAAAACACAACGACATTTCAAAAAACACAACGACATTTCAAAAAACACTACAGCGTTTCACAAAACACTTCAACATTTCACAAAACACAACGACATTTCAAAAAACACTACAACGCTGTAGTGTTTTGTGAAACGCTGTATGGGTGGGGCTTATATCCATGCAAATACTATGATAGATATCAACTACAACAAAATGAACATATTTTACTGTGATTTAATTGTAATACACGTTTCAAAATTATGCCGACGTAACAACATACTGATACCGGTTAGTAAAAACCATGAATTAACGCTTTGACAAGTCTGCAGACAGACGGCAGGCGAAAAACCTTTTAAAATGCGTGTTTTCTGAATGGAGATCGGATCGATCAGGGTAAGTTAACCTGTAGCTGCTCCGTCCAAACTCACAACACGATGCAGACAGAAATAAAGCAGCGACTGTATTCGCCATGACACAGGCAGTCTGTGGTTTGTACTTGTTTAACTTTTGTCCAGTTTCTGAACAGATATGAGGAGCTGTGAGCTCTGTGTGCTAACAGCTAACGGCTGATGTTTTGGGACATGTTGCGCTGTCGGGTGCTGACCGATCACAAAGTGTCATTTCTTGAGTGGCAGCAAAAACAACCAATCACAGCAGTGCTTCTCTGGCTGGCTCTGTCCAATCACAAACAACAAGTGTTCTCCCTAAAGGAATACCCTGTGTTTTCTGAAATGTCGTTGCGTTTTCTGAAATGCTGTGGTTTTTTGTGAAATGTTGTTTTGACTTGCACTTCAGGGCCACCGTAGATCATCTTTATTACAAATTAAGCATCTCTTGTTGACCCAATAATTCATACTTAAACTGATTTTGGCACACATCCACATCCTCTCTTTTCTTGACCACCCCTGTAGTGATTCTGCCTATTTTGATTTCCCCCCGACATTGCTGTACTTCCAGATCCGTGAGGTTTGAATCTGTGCATGCTGTAGATGAATATGGATGCTCTGACAGAGGTAGAGATGCATAGACGAGGTACATAGATTGGATCTTCTTTTTTCTGTTTGGCTGATGACTGTAAAAATGTACTTTTCGATATTCCCAGTGGCTCAGCAGTTCAGACGTGCCCCAGCAGACCTAGATTACAATCCGTCCGGAACATTCTTTCCTACCTTTCCTTGCATCACTCCGGATCCTCCCAGCTTCTCAGCTAGAATTGTTTAATGCCAATCGATATGATTGGCATTAAACAATTGTTTTAATTCTAATGATATATTAGAATTAAAACAATTCAGCATTTGTTGATTATGGGTTTGCCTACATCAAAGTAATTCTGATTTTCAGCTATTTAAATCGGACCATTTCCATGTCCAAAATGAAGTATTCCATATCAAAATAAACTCTTGGTAGGGTATAAGACAATAATATTTCTACCATAATAGAATGTTAAATACACAGTTTAAAAAAAAAAGAATATCCAACAGGAAACATAAAATGAAACCACAATGCTTTGCTAAAAGGCTTTTCACTTCACCTTTTTTTTTACTTTGGTCCATAAATAGTTTACTTTACAAATAAGCGATGTCAAAGCTGTTTTCAAATAAATAACGACATCTATTACTAGACAGATTAGCTGTTTGTGGTTCGATTCATTTTATCGCAAGTATAAACTTGCATCAAACGTAGTGGAATGAAGCAACAAGGGCTTTCTACAGAGCCGTCCAACACACCGCTGTTCCTCTCGGTCATCATTGAGCTGCGGAGAGACACAAACATGACCATCTCATATGAGCTGAAACAAACACACTGGTCCAATCGCAGTAAAGAACAACAGTAGAGACACAACATACAAATGTGGACCTGAAAATGAACGGAATAAATCCTCTTTGATGACTGCAGATTGTTTTTGGTTCCTTCTTAGTTTTGTTTAGGTTATAATTTAACTTTTTCAGTGGATGGTTGTATATATTTCTATAGTGTATAGGTTTAACATAGAGAACATACATATGTTCTGTTCACTGCCCTTTTAAATTGATTGGAGGAAAGATACTACTTAGACACTGTCAACAAAAAGTGAACAAGCTCTACGTGAGAATACATTTTCTGGATGCTGTGTAGGATGAGTCATACAGACTCAGTGAGTCAGATCGCTACCAGTAAGGGAGTCAAGGCTGCTTCCTATGGCCTTGATTTGGCCCACCTATCCCTACGGTCAGCCGCTTCAGCGGCACATGGAGGCACTTAACGTACTTTAATACTCTTGCATCAGAAACCCCTTTTTCTTCTCAAACTACTAACTTTTTGACCAATTGAAGTCACTTCCTACTTACTGTCTCTTGGGATATCATTATGGATGTCCATCATTATCTATGTAGCTACATCACAAATGAATGTGCATAATATGCTTGGGAATCATATAAAAGAGTGGTGCAGGAATCAGTCGGGAAATTAATGAGCAAAATACGCCTTCTGTATCCCTTTTCTCAGTCAACGCGTTAGACGGCAGAAATAAGCTTAGGAGATCAAATAAGTCCGTAATTCCCCACTGAGGACATTTCTGAAGCAGAGGTTGCTAACAAGTGACTGAATGAGACTACTCAACATCATGCGGAACATTAGCCGCCTTTAGCTTAGCGGTGGTGACGTGAAGACGTGACTTTGATGTAGTTTGTAATACCCTAATGTTAGCTTTTTACTTCTGCCAATTGCATTATTACTTGATGGTGTTAATATGTGGAGATTCTCCTGCTGAGCAAAATGTGTAAGTATCATAAACGTGTGTTTGCAACAATTTTATTTTCTGCAATTTGCAAAACTCAATGGAAAATCACTGCACCACTCTATAACTACAGAAGATTCAATCAATGTAACGCAGTTTTTGTTTTCTGTGCACCAATGGGTACAGTGTGAACCAGAACTGCTAATGGCTAATTGCCATATTGAAAAACATATAAATAAGTGTAGCTTAACAGGGCCAAGTTGTAGCAAATTTTGTAGCATATTTTAACATGAAGAAACCTATTGATGCCTGTGCCTTTTCCCTTGTTGTTTGTAACAGGAGACCTGGAAGCCTTCAAGAAGCAGTGCTTTGTTCTGAAGGAGGGCGTTGAATACAAAATAAAGATCAGCTTTAAGGTGAGAGCTGTGCTAGATGCAGGAAATATGCTCATAGGGTATCTCCCTATGAAAGGGATTCTTTGTCAGTGAAAACAAAATAATGGTGAAACAGTCCACTTTTCAGCCAAATGCTGGCTAATGAATCGTGCTGTGGTGCTCGGGTCAAACCGTTTGACTACTTTCAGCAACCATAAATACTGTGTTTAACATTTGATTGCCTCAAGGCCTTATGATATCCTCCGCAGTCAACATTTGAACATATAACATTGCTGATCACTTTCATTGCATTTTGAGTGGTTTAGTGGACACCTTTGATGTTCCCGGTCAAAGATGACTTTCATAGAAAATGAATGAGTAAGCAGTAAAAACAGACCAGTCACATTTGACCGGAATCACCAAACTAATACTTGAGGCAAGGTATGCTTGAATCAGAGAGATAAAAGGTCAAAGTATGGGGAAATGCAGGGACATCTCTAACCTTTTAGATATATCTCTGTTTTCAAAGTGTGCAGTTGTTTACGTCCAACCCTCCTGTTGTGTTCGAGGGGGTAAACGAACACAACAGGAGGGTTGGACGTAAACAACTGCACACTTTGAAAACAGAGATATATCTAAAAGGTTAGAGATGTCCCTGCATTTCCCCATACTTTGACCTTTTATCTCTCTGTTTCAAGCATACCTTGCCTCAAGTATTTTTTTTATATTCTAACCCTCGATATGACCCTGTAACAATGTGTGTGTCTCCTCAGGTGAACAAGGAGATAGTTTCGGGTCTGAAGTACGTGCAGCAGACGTACAGGAAAGGAATTAAGAGTGAGTGAAGAATTTCTGATGTCATGTCAATCCCAATATGCCTTCTACACAGAAACAACTGAAACGTTGACTTTAAGTGTATTATGTCAACAGATTTGACATAACTGTATTAGGTATAATAATATTATGTTCAACCTATTTTTTACTTTAACTTAATATTATTGCTTTCACCTAATACAGTTATTTGAAATCTGTTAACATCATGCATTTAATTAAATTCAACGTTTCAGTTTTTTCAGTGTGAGTAACTTAAAGATATTGGTACGTATGTATAGTTTACTTTGAGTGTAATTCAGTTAAACAGTATTTGAGTCAAGTGATTGACACACTATCTGATCTCATGGGGTTCAGATACCCTGCTTCCCAAACTTTGATTTTCTAACCAATGATTCTTCTCTTAATTTATCTTGGCAAACTCCCACAATGTTTATTAATATCTTCCTTTCTTTATGAATTAATCACAGAGCTGTCAATTGTATCAGTAATTAATGCTCAAGCAGCAGCAACAGCATGGTTATATCCTTCATGTTAAATATACATGAATCGTAGATCTAGAGTCTCTGATATCCCGGTCCGTACTCACTGTCAGATCCACACAGATCGATGTATTTCCCTCTCTGACACTAATGGCGCATATCCACTACAGCGGCGTTTAAGCGTGCCGTGCCCGGCCCGTTTTTGGTTGCGTTTCCACTAGGCGTAGTTCCGGCTAGCTAGCGGTTACTATTTCACAGTTTTTCTGGCTCTCCAAAATCGTGGTTCTTTCCGGGCCAACAACCGGGCTGAGCATGCTAAACTAGTGAGAGAATCGCTGGCAACTACAACAAAATGAACATATTTGACCGTGATTTAATTGTAATACACGTTTCAAAATGATGCCGAAGTAACAACATACGTGTGTTACGTATGTTAGTAAAAACCATGAATTAATGCTTTGACAAGTCTGCAGACAGAAAACCTTTTAAAATGTGTGTTCTCTGAATGGAGATCGGCTAAGCTAACGCAGTGTATGCTCCGACCGTCCACACTCACAACAACGGCCTATACAGACATAAATAAACCAGCGACTGTATTCACCATGACACAGACAGTCTGTGGTTTGTACTTGTTTAACTTTTGTCTAGTTTCTGAACAGATATGAGGAGCTGTGAGCTCTGAGTTCTAACAGCTAACGGCTGATGTTGGTTTTGTGTTTCGCATTGAAGATGACGTCACGGCTCCGCCTACACTGCGTTACTATAGTTACTACGCCAGTTCCTAAACTGTAATGGAAACGCAGCATAAAGTGAGCCTGGCCTACCAAGGCCTAACTATACCGTACTAAGCCGTGCGAGGCCCTGCAGTGGAAATGCGCCATAACATCCACTCTTGTGTGTTTCCAGTTGATAAGTCTGACTACATGGTGGGCAGCTACGGCCCCCGCTGCACTGAACACGAATACTCCACCACGATGGAGGAGGCCCCCAAAGGCCTGCTGGCCCGCGGAAACTACGTCATCAAATCCAAGTTCACCGACGACGACCAGCACGACCACCTGTCCTGGGAGTGGAACCTGAACGTCAAGAAAGACTGGAAAGACTAAAGGAGGCCTTTGTGTTCTTCCTGGGGGGGGGGGCGAGGGAATATAACAAATAAAAAAAAACCTGTACATTTCTCAACCCCCCCCACTCATCCCATGTCCACCATTTCTGCCTTTTTCTTTTTGCATTTCATGTCATGCCTTAGTTACTGCCATCGCTGTCTTAAACCCACCCCCCCCCCCCGCATCCGTAGCAACCCCCCACCATCACATCCCTCCGTCCATCCTCCCTATCCGCACTCACCAACATACCATCCTCAATCACTCACCCCCCCATGTAGCACCTTAAACTCCCTCCTGCTTTTCGTTTGTCCCCGGATCTTTGCTGCTTGAAGAGATTAACCCCCCCACCCCTGCAGAATGGTGTCTTCCTCTCTCAGTGCGTAGTATGAAGCAACTGTACAATCAACTTTAGTTTGTTTGCCTTCTTTTATATATAATTGTATCAATGGTCGTGTACTGTGACCATATCACTGTTAATCAGCTGTTGTGTCCGTAGCGGGGCCCCACCACATCCACCTCCTATAGCTTTCCTTTGCTTGATGTCTTTTTGATGTAATTACCATTACCTGCCTTGTAAGAAGAGTTCATTCAGAGCTCTCCCTTCCAAGGGAGTAAAAAAATATTAGGATAAAAAAAAAAAGAAAAGCTGCCTTATGTCAAAATCTAATTTAGCATGCCTTGTCAGTACAGTGCTCACTGTTAGGTAATCTGTACTTTAAGGGCTTACCAAGCTACCAACCAGTTAGCATCCGTAGCCTGTTACTCAGATACAGGCTCTGCGAAATAAACTCACCTTGTGATTGGAGGAGACTGTATGTTGAGAATTGGAACCAGTGAACTATTGAACCTCTCCTTCCTTTTAGCCATGAGGCCTTAGCACTGACTATGATCATGTGGCGATAAATACACATTTCTAATTAAGCCTTTTTTTCTCCCTTTGCCTTAATGTACATCATTCCTCATACAAAGCCCCCCCCCCCCCCCCTTCCATCACTTCAGTCAGCAGACCCCAGGTGGAGGAGTAGAAGCAGAGAAAGTGCAGGAGGTGTCAGACGCTGGTAGTGAAGAGGAAACCAGTGAAAGGCAGGTGACACGAGCAGAGAACACGCTCCATATTTAATGAGGGGTTTGAAACTGACCTGAAACATTTGTTGAAATCGACTCGTACTGTACCAGAACATATGGATGTATCACTTTTATTTTGGTTCTTCTGATAATGTATTCCTGCTCCATACATTCCTTCACATTGTACAGTTTCTATGAAAACGCTGGCATGCTGGTGGGGTTGTATATTCTATCATGTGTTATTGCTCTTCTCGGCCAATAAAGATTTTGCTCAACTCTGCCTCCATCACGGGTGTTGTGTCAAATAGTAGCACTGCTTCTACCCAGGAGTTATGTTTTCCTGTGTCTTTAAAGGGGGACATTAGGTTCAGTTTCAGTTTTTACTGAACATTTGGAAAGAATTTGACACTTCTGGAAGCTCTTACAGAAAGATGCTTCAAATTGACATGCTGTGTAAGTTCTGCATTATTTCATTACAGTAATACCTGTCATACCAACATAAACATATTTTGACTGGACACACTTAAAGGCCTAAAATGCTTATTTCAATGCGCTTATGATAATATCGTAATTTGACAGAATTATTTTCAAGATAATTGTAACAAAGATATGTGTCCCTGTGATACTGGTGTATCAGCTTTCAAAACAGCATTTGGGCGGGAAAAAACAAACAGAAACAACAGAGCCTTAATAATGTATGCCCATACTGTATTTCATACTTAACAGTGTACGTTTGCCAAAGCAAAATAGAAATATGACTTAGAAATGTATATCGAAAGGCACAGCATCAAAATACAATTTGACATGCAAGTTTTTCTTTAAAATTGGAGTAAACATTCAAACGTTGACCCATCCGGCCTGTCTGTTGAATCCTAACAGCCGTCCGTCACAGGGTGAATACTTAGCTTAGCATAGCCGAGGGGTCGTTGCTTTCAGAAGCCTCCAGTCAAACAAAAAAGGCAAAATCACTACTGGCGTACAGTACTAAGGATAGAGCATGCATTCTCCTAAAGCTCATGAAAGATCTGATGTTTGTAACAAAAAAAATTCCATAAAAATCCCTCTGAACATGACTTCCATTATTAGCACCCAAAACTCTCCGCTCGAGACTTTACATCACTGTCAGGACAGATGGCCCCTGTACATAAATATACATATTAAATATACATTCAGAGGAGCAGGGAGAAATGAGCATGCAAAATTTGGTCCACCAAAAACAGAAAGCATCGACCCGAGACTCACCCTGAGAAACAACACTGACCTCGTGGAGTTTCCCCCAAAGGACACGTAAAACTGGGGCTGGTTTTTGGCACATTTACGGTAATTTTTGTCTTATACTAGTAACCACACCCTACACCTGACTGGCTTTTTTTCCCCTCCACCCCTTCAGGGGTCAAGAAGGCTAAAACCGTGAGCTCGCACTGTGCATGGCTTTTAGGTCTCTTAATACGGATTTTACACAAAGTATCAGAGGAGCAAAGCACATTAAAATATTCCAGTTAAAAAATACAACAATAAAGACGTAATAAAAAAGTGGATGTGAGTCCACAGGAGGTGCAGTTCAGCTTATCATACAGTAGATCTGCCAAAACAAAAAGGCCCAAAACACTAAAAACCCTGAAATCTAAACGTTGTTCCAGTTACTGTCAATGTGCTGTGCAGGTGTTGCTGCTGCCCGCTCTCTTCCTGTGTCGTCTGAGTTGGGCAAAAGAAGATTCTGTAATACTTTTTATCTCCATGTTTTTAAGGGTTCATCTTGAGAGTTTGCTGATGACTCGAATGAGCGCGGCGTTCTCGTCCTTCAGCCTCTGGTTGTCCGTTCTGAGGTCCCCCAGAACCTGCAGGAGCATCAACAAGCGTTAGATTATATTTACCATCAAATAAAAAGGTTTACTTCATAAAGTACAATCATTTTTATAAAATTAGACGATTAGCTTTCATGTGAGTTACTTTGATAACACTGCAGACAACTTTGCATTATCTTGGGAACCGGTTTTACAAAACAAGTACATTCACTTTGTGACGCACCCATAAAAACAACTGACAAACTGACTGCTGCACTTGACCTGTGGCAGTGCAATAACAGACGCACGGTAGCTCCAAGTCAACTCTTCACTTTGCAGATAATCAGAACCCAATATGAGGTAAATGCTTACTTTTAAATACAATTACACAGAATATCTTTCGTTTTTAACCATATGATAATGCATATGTGGGATCGACAATCAGATATCACTAAAAGGAGAAATGTGAATAGTGGTAACAGCGGTTACAGCAGGTCTAACTTCTGCTTTGGGCTTACTGGCAGGCCGCAAACCACTTCACGGCGTATACTGCCACCCGGAGTCCCCGGCCGGAAGTCCCCGGAGTTGGGGACTGGCTTCAGTCGAAGCTGCTGGGACTCCCAGCAGCTTCGACTGAAGCCTTCCGAGTAAATCGCCAGAATGCCGACACCTCCTCATCTCCACCGCTCCCATGTTTTATTTTGTGTTGCCATAAGTTATTTTCTCTCCGTTGGTGCATGGTGCTAATGTTAATGCTAATAATGCTAATGCCAGCAAATACAATGGCGGCTTCCCAAAACTTTTCAGAGTTTTACGGGGCGTAGTTTGCAATTCGCCCAGCCAATCAGAAATTGGAACTTTTTTCTCCCCAGGATAGTCCCACCTCTCTAGCAGGCACTACAAATGGGGGTAAAAGTTCTCAGGAACTAAGTTCTCTTTTTGGTGTGAACGCAAAATCCCAGGAACTATCGGAACTAAACGGGAAAAGTACGGGGAAAAGTACTCCGGTGTGAAAGCGCCTGGCTCAGCCCTAATGCCATGAACTACACTAAATTAATTCAGATTTTTTATTTTGATGATGCTTACATGTAATGCGCTTTCACTTCATAAACTAAATGTATTTTCTTTTTGGAGGCTTTCCATGTGCAACTGTTCTACTCTGTGTTATCTGGAAATAGCCTGTCAATCTTAATGTGTCTATAATGAACCACGGTACCTTCAGCTCATCCTCCAGTTCCACTGCCTTCCTCTGGAGGGACAGCTTCTCCTGTGGAACAGTTTGAACATCATTTCACCAGAAAACATTTCACAGACAACATTTCACCTCTTCTCTAAAGGACCTGCTAAAATGTTTTATCACATATCATAAAGTAAATGTAGCTAACGCATCAACATACACAGTTTAACTCTGGAACAGGAAATGAGTGTTTTGTTTTATTTACGTTCCTTTATAGTCGAGTTGCCAGCACTTTGAACCCGGTCCCCAGCGCATAGAAACTGCCGGATGCTAACTTGCATATGTTGGGCAGTTTGCACAATTAGCATAAGTTGCGTTAGTTACCAATTGCATTATAGCGTATGAAGACAGTAGTTCAAAAATGGCTTGGCCGATATCGACAATTTTGGAGATATTGTGGGGGTTATTGAGGATGCAGAGTACATTTCTGACATGTTCAGGAACCAAAGTGGCAGTTTTAACCAGAAAGTGTCAATATTTGTACTCTCTGTGGGCCGATTGTTGGCCAATTTCTGGTTAAAACTGCCATTTTGGATCCTGAAAAGATCAGAAATGGATTCAGAATCCTCAATAAGAAAAAAAAAAAAGGCCAAGACGCTTTTTTAACTATTGTCTGCATAGGCTATAATGGTAATAATTAGAATTAATGCAACTTAAGCTAATTGTGCTAATTGCCAACCATATGAAAGTTAGCATCCGGCAGTTTCTTTGTGTTGGTGACCAGTACTATACATTTATCAAATTAAAACTTTGAGTTACTCAACATTTACGGGTTCACAACAGGACTCTGAGCTGGCAAACAGACTGTTAGTTCATGGTTTTTATATATACAGTACAGGAGGTTTGTTCCTAGAGATAGAGACACAGTGAGAAAATAAATGAAGACTTACAAATCTCTCCAGTTCCAGCAGGGCCGGTCTGTCGGTGCCGCTGTCTTGATTCTGCCACAGAGACACAGTGTTAAACAGCTGACCGTTCAACGACACAACCCTCATTTCTGTTGCACACTTCTCAAATAAACTCACTTCTGAAAGCAGAGGGGGTTACTACGAGGCCAGATCAGAGGGTTAGCGAGGTATGTTTAGCCGAAAGCAAGAGTTTCCCTATGGCTGCTGTCTTTTAACCTGGCTAAATCACCATGGCAACTTATGCTGCAGACATAACATGATCAGAGGAATCCATTGTTACCAACTATGTTTCGATAGCTTGTCGATGAAGGGCCAAAAAGATACTCCAAAGTTAGGCTAACTTCTGGTGAAATAAGTTGGCCAATTGCCCACATTTTTACTTCTTATGTTTATATAATATATTTCAAATTAAAAAAGAAAACTGTCATAAAAAAACAATTCCCCCTGGGCGTATTAGTCCATTTGATTCTTATTCACACATAAGCCCAACATACACATGCCCAAAACAGCACCTATACTCATGTTTTAGTACACACACTTTCGGTTCACAGACCGAGTCTCTACAGACAAGCTATTAAAGGAGGATTTGTGCTGCCCTCCACGTTCACACACTCATTTAACCGCTGACTTAGATAACATCAGCATCTCTCTGTTTTTAATGTCCAGTGGTGTGAAGTAACTAATGCCCCGGCCACACGAGGACGAAAACGGCCGTTTGCGTTACTGTTTAGTGTCATATAGACCATTCGGCCACACGAGGACGACCGAATACGGCACTAAACGACTGAGGAAACGATAACGGGTCCCAAGGTGGATAGAACGGCATACGCAACGCTCTGGGGGGTCAAACGGCTCCGTGTGTGCGCCCTATACGAACATTTTCTGATAGTGATTGCGCAATAGCAATAGCCCCGCCTCTCCCCACCTCTTCTGCTCACCTCCGCTTACCCCGCGCCATTGCTGATGTGTTTCGCCACCAACAACAACAACAATGGCGGATCGCAGAGTTGCTATCGTGCTCCGGACGCTACTGACCATGCTACAGTTTTTTGTGCAACATCTACAGCAGACTTACACATCCGGGGGGGATCTTACTCGCTGCTTTTGTGGATATGTACTGCAGCTTCAGCGATCATTTTCTGATAATGATTGCGCAATAGCCCCGCCTCTCCCCACCTCTGCTGCTCACCCCCGCGTCAAAGTAAACTGCACACTGAATTCAGATTATTTATCTCGATATGGACATAAACGCGAGAGAAGTCTAATCTGACAGGACGGAGACACCTCTCAAACTACCTAAACTAGTTATAAATATGTTTATTTTTACTGTCGGCCGGGTCACTCAT